TTGGATGAAAACGAAGTATTTCAAGACGTAACTTTGGGTCTGGAAACTTCTGGTGGCATTTTTCTACAATTTTCTGACATTTCAAAGCACAAACAATTAATGAATCAAAGTAATCATTAGCTGAAGACAGAGGGTGTTTTTGCCTTAAACAGAGGGAGATTACATGCCTATATATAACAAATGATTATTATTCACAGACCTCTCTCTTAACCTTATAAAAAGGGAGCAGCATGGATTATATAGGGGATATATACGGGGTCTTTGAAGAAGTCTTCTTGGCACAACAGGAGAACATTATATAAGGCACCAAGAAAACCATTATACAAAGAATAATGTATTTCAGTGTAAATCAACCACTGTTTAGTGTTCAGCATCTCTCACTAAAGCCGGTCAAGGGGGAGAAAGTAGGGTAAATACAAAGGGCAAATCCGGTTAGCCAAAACACACACTGGAATCCTCATTACAATGACGGAGCAGAGGGGGAACAGAGGGCGAGACGAGAGCCTGGTAGGCTTCTGATACTGGCTGCCCAGATTAAGAGACCATCAGAGCTTTACTGTTTAAGAAAGGAGCGTTTTAAGACAGCTCAGAGAGAGAGAGAACCATTCACTACAACAGCACTGATGCTTAAACACAAAGGGTCATACAGCTCAGCTCAATGCTGATATTACACACAGATACAATTCTGCATTTGAAGCAGGATCCAATAATGTCAGATAGATTCTGAATTGGCTTGTGTTGGATTTTATTATCTTTTAATGCAGCTGTTGTTCAATACCACTTTCAATCGGCACAGTATTCCACACTGCAGAGGGATTGTACTATCCCTATTGATTCGTGCTTTCAGTCCATTGCACAGAACTGTGTTACACTGTGCATGATACAAGTTTAGATTCAGCCCCATGTCACATTCAATGCCAGACAATTTCCCTTTCAGATTTGGGGCAGTCATGGTGCAGAACAAGTTAACAGCTCGCCCACAGGCCAGACAGGGCTGCTCTAAGCCCATTACAATAAGCCTGTTCACCTTAATGGTTCCAGCAGCCCAACTGTCACAAATCGAATCATTGCCAACTCTCCATTTTCCCTTATTAAAACTGTGCTGAACATGACGGTTCACACTCTGTGAGCACTGCATCCATCCACCACACATCAGCAGTGTAAACAGACTGTGTGTACTGTACTGTGTTATATTTATGCATTCCTTCATGTTCATTTATCATGAGTGAAATTATTAGATTGGATGTATATGAGGTGCATTTATCAGACTATGGAGGGGATAAAAGCGTTTTGAGGAGGTGTAATAATCAATTAAGGGAATAATTCACAATCAAATCAAAAGGAGAATCAAGTCTTCCTGTTGTGATCACCCCGACCAATAAAGTGGGTAAAACATTTCCTTTGATGGATGACAACACTGTACCAGTAATGATTCCCACTGTGAGGCCAATAAAACTCAATACCAAACAATTAAAGATAAAGAATTATGAATCACCAGCATGACAGCAGGTTATCTGTTTTACTGAGGCATCAGACAGTGACGAGGCCAGGTCAAAGTTCAAGTAGGATTCTTCAGCAACCCAGAAAGTTATTGAGGCAACCTAATGAGGTGCTGATGGAAGTGAAGGGCGGGAGGGGTTCACAGTCCGAGAGCAGCAGTTACTCAGCAGTTGTCACAGATAGGAAGCCTCAAGTTGACGTGATGTCCGCTGCCAGCTTGTTATCATGCCTCTTACCATTGCATAACTGAAGCCAAATAAATGTGATTTTTGAGCTCAGTCGGCAGGGAGAGATAGAGAGAGAAAAACAAGACAAAACAGGAGAGACAAGGAGTGAGATGGCGAAGAAACAACCGACTCTCACCCAACCGTGAGCTCTTAAGAAAAAAAAAAAAAAACATTTTCTGTTGCATCCAGTCTGCACGGAGCTCAGACGACACAGAGAATGAAATCAGTTGCATGATATGAGACTCCATGACGTCTGAATGTAAAGAAAAGGGCCATTTTGTGAGGCAGATAATGAGAGCAAGGCTGAAGCATCTCTGTCAGCTGGATTTAAGATCATCTTTAGCACAGGAAAATCATCTCCACCTTCATCTTTTTTTATGACAGCACAACTCTCGTGATTGGATGATGTAATTAATGTAGTCCGTTTGCTGCACATTTCTAATTTGTCTCATAAAATCTGCTGTGATTCGCATTAAAGCCTGAGGAGTCGTCTAACAGCCTCTTAACAACAACCTTAATGACTGTAATTTATGAGAAAGCATTACAGCCTTGTAACACACAACATCGGTCAGGAGAAATTAATTAACATCTTTGTTAAGTTACCTTCATGTACCGTGTGAAGCAACAGGAAAATAAGAATATTCAATAAAAATGAGATGTTTTACATTCATCTGCCCTGCAAAATGATTGCCCGGTTCCAACAATGAACCTTCAAAGTGAGTGCAGCTGACCGAAGGTAAGTGAGTGCAGCTCATAGCCAGTAAGTCAGAGCAAATCAGTGTTTGATGTGTCCAGCGTGACAAGTTGATGGTGACAAAATGCTTCCACACTACTGACCGAACAGACAAACCCCAACAGAGGCAAACACCAAATGATCCTGCAGATTATACAAATTGTCCAAAAGCATTCAGTGAAAAATGAGACAGAAGAAACAATAACTGTGGAAAATAATTGGATGCGATCAAAATTATTACAGCATCATCTGACAATGTATTTATTCTGTAAATGGGTGAGGATGCATCCATTAGGTGTGATAGTTGAAAAAGATAAGCATGAATCCATTTTGGTAATGTGGTGTAATGGTTTCATGGACATCCATTAAGTATATTTGAAAAGATAGGCATGGATCCAAATTAGCAATACACTGTGATGTAGTGTAATGTGCATTTATATTATATATCACTTGACTGCTGATTAATCTCTGCAACCACATCAACAATTAAGCCATAATCGAGGGGAGAGAGAGAGAGAGATCAGTCTCTTACCTCTGTCGGCTGCGCTGGGAGGTTTCTCTCTCTCCTTCTGTGTCTTCTCTTTGCCGGTGTCCGTGAAATATTTACCCACTCAAAGAGGTATACTGCCAGCCATCAATGCTTGATGCTCTTGAAAAAACATCATCCTGAAAAAATGGCTTGGAGACATGCCAAAAAGATGTCAAAATGGGGGAAAAGGAGGGTAAAAAAAGCCAATAAGTCTTGCAGTTATTCAAATATTAAATAGCCAATAATTGTATAGTTGTCTGGTGACAGTGGAGAGGTGCTTGTGTTGATGGATGGGAGAGAAGCTCTCAGTGAAAGCAAGTCAGTGAGAGAGACAGAGTGAGAGAAGAAAGTGAGAGAGAGAGAGAGAGAAGGAGAGAGGAAGAGAGAAGAGAGAAGAGAGAGAGAGAGAGAGGAGAGAGAGAGAGAGAGAGCGAGAGAGCGAGAGAGGGATTAAGATTGAGGAGACACCCCTAAGGGACCCTTTATCGTTGCATTGTAGCCCTCTGTAGCTTAACGCCCAAGCGACTCCACAACACGGCAGCAACACGATATTGCCCAAAGATAATTAATCTGTTAACGGGGATTAGCGGGGGTCTAACCCCTCACTCACTTCATACTGAGATACCAGAGGCACACTTCTAATGTCGACCCCCACCAACATCCACGCATACTCCCATCAACCTGACCAATCTCTGTCCAGACTACCACACTGAACCCTGACCAGATTACTAAGAGAAAGAGTAAAAAATGCTGCCAGCCAACTGTGTGTGCGCTAAATAATAATGAAAGGAGATGTTTTTGAAAGAACCCTGAACTCCTGCCTATGACTCTATGGGCTGCGACGTGTCGAGGGCTAATGTGAAGTAGAGATGCACATAAACTTGGAGTAAGAGAAGCGAATAAACACATACAGATGAATAAGGGGAGGGGGAGATGCAGGGAAAGGCAACATAAAATACTGAGAAGGGGGGAAAAAAATGTGGGTTCCCAGGGAGGGATGCTGAGAGAAAGAGGAGGGAGGGAGAGAGATGGAGTGAACAATGAATAGAGAGAGGGGGGAAAGCGGCATGCAATGGATTTTTAGGCAAAACCAGTTTTCAGTGGAGGCTGCAGAACAGCATCAACACTGAATCAGTGACAAGAACGCTGGAGGAGAACATGCAACAACACAATAGGAGGGATGAGAGGGTCCTGATGGAGATGATGCTCTATGGGCGGTTTATGGCTGAGGAATGCAAATTGGAGATACAACGGCAAAAACACGGCAAGAAAGAGTAAAACGAGTTTGGTGTTTGTCTGCCATTGCAGAAAGGGGGGCAGAAGCGAGTGAGGAAAGAGGGAGGGGGCGGCGTTAGTTTTTCTGTGTCACTGAAAAGAGAGTGGGGGAAGGGAGGCAGGGAGATAATGCGAGCGAGAGAGCAAACAGTGGAGAGCCACAGAGCATACTCACTGACTCATATAGCCTATGTATAGTGTATAGTGTATGTGTGTATCTGGGAGGAAGAGGGGAAAGAAGACAGAAAATTATATTATGTATGCAAGAGTTGCTCAGGGAGCGTTTACGCAGCCTCCGTGTGTCTGTATGTTAACGCACAGCAACAGTACCGCATCCAGGCCATCAGTCACTGCACGGATAAAATATCACCACTCACAGGATTTAAAATAACCAGTTCAATATTTAATGTCCTCGACAATCTAATGGTTATAATTCATTGGAAAAGCATACAAAGTCATACAAGTCCATACAATATTCATGTAAAACAGATTGTTTAGGACAGGGAATTATGAGCCGCAGAATACAACCACTTTGGTTAATTCATGGCTGTAAAAAATAACCGTAATATTTTACCCTCATGGACAATTTATGTCCTGTACATTCGCCTTCATGGCAGGTGCATACGTCCTGTCTGAGTAGTTGTAAAACAGTAAATATCAAAGTGAAGTGAAGAGCTGTACAATTAATCGAAATATTATCAAAAATGCAATATGGTAAAGT